TATATAAATATTTTTTTCAAATCAATCATAAAAATGGATACAATAAAACTTTTAGAAGAAAGATCATCATAGAAAAGAGATTCCTTCTTACTTTTGAATTCCTACTACTTCGTAGAGAACATTCTTTAGCAGACGTATAGAATCTACCTGTATGCACGAATACAGTTTGGAAGATACTTTTTAAGTTTGAAGAATTTGTTTTAGTAGAGCAGATTCTATACTGCTGATCCTTAGGCAATGGACTTACATATTTTCAAAAGATATGTTTATGAATTTAAAAGGCTCAGTTAACCGTTCGTTTCAAAAAAACAATGTTTAGAATGAATATCTGCAGCTTTCATCTGATTCAAAGGGGAACATCAAATCTTATTAATCCAGTAGTTATATTAGTCAGGTGTGTTTTCGCGAGAAAAATTCCCTATTGAATTCCGACTTATGTTATGAGTATTTGATAGGAATAATTGTTCAATTTCGAAATGACTATAATCTCACATATTGTTGCTATTAGATAGTGAGTTGATATATCAAATCGAAACTCTTGAATAGGGCAAATTAGAGATATTAGTTTTATGTAGATCAAAAAAGAACAATTATTTCTATCGAATAATCACAGCAGAAGTCAGAATGATTTATAGTATAAAATTTTTATTCTTAAATATAAAACATGTAAAATTATATCTTTCTCTTTAATATAGATTTAATAAATCTAAACATAATCTCTATACTTATTTATTGTAAATATTTTAGGTACAAAATCCAACAACACCTCAATTTGGATCATCTCGTGTCATTGTTAATCAAACTCCAACTCGTTTAAATGCATCAGCAAACATTGCTGGTCAACAACAACAACAACAACAACAAATTAATCCTTATCCTCCTCAAATGCCTATTGATCTTTTTCATACAAATCTAACACGTTCAACTCCTACTGTTCCATCAAATCAAATTGAAGTTCCAAAACCAATTGAACAAACTCCATTTCCTCCTTCACCTATTCCATTAACAAATGGAAATAATAATAACAATAATAATAATAATAATAATAATACTGAAGATCCAACATCATCACTTAAACGACTTCTTAATATTCGTGGTCAAAATGCTTTAGAAAATCTTTCACTTGATGATAGTTCAGTTTTTACAAAACAACAAACACAACAACAAACTTTACTTGATCTTATGCCACCATCAGCATTCGAACCAATAACAGCTACACCACCTTCACCTGTTGTTGCTATTGGTGCTGAACGTACAAAACATCGTTTATCAACTCAATTTGCACCAATAATGAGTCGTGAACATTTTCGTAATGTTCTTATTCATCTTGTTCAAAATGATGATCATTTTCTTGATATTATCTATCAAGCATGTCTTACACATCCACCAACAACATCACAATAAAATATTTCAAAAAATATTATATAAACTTGCATGTACCCCTTTGTTTGTTTGTTTGTTTGTTTTTTGTCATCTTCGTATATTATTTGTCCATACGTTTATTGTATTTGTTTGTCATTACAAAAAAAAGACAAATTAACCTTCTTGAGTAGCAATGAAAGAAAATTTATTCGTACTTTTCTTTTTCATTTTTTTAGATTTTTAATAACAAAAAAAAAAAAAAAAAAAAAAAAAAACTATATTCTTAATGAAATATTAATATTATGTATTAGTAGATAATCAATATGATTGAAGATTTTATATAGAAAATTGGAATTTCTTTTCTTATGATTTGATGTTTTTTTTTATAATTATCTTATTAATAATTGAATTGAAAATTCTAAACTCAAAGCAATATTTGAAGAATTGGTTATTAATTTAAGGTAAAAAAAAAAAATTAAAATTTTGTTTCATAAATTCTCATAGTTTTTCATAAGAGAATGTTGTTTGATTACAGTAGAAATATTAAAATATATATACATAATGAATTTTTTAATACGTATCAAAATCTTCAACAACAGATAGAAGACTCAATCATAAATCGTTATGTGTACATAATAGATGGCCTATAAAAAAAAACTCAACACTTTTAGTTCTTTGCTTGAGTAGCTCAGACATAGTTAAGAGATTTTGTTTTGTTGATTGAAAATAGAGACAATTATTAGAAAAAGATCTTTGTAATATTTACGACATTTTTCTTTCAATTTTCACTTCGAAAATTACATCAGAACTATTATTTGAGAAATTAGCCTTTAATCTTTTATATTTTTTGCTAACAAGAAAAAAGAAATAAATCCATTCCATTCTTTATGAATAGAGATTTAGGCAAGTGCATTAATCAACGGTTTGGAGTTTGCGATGCTCTTTTAAAAAACTTTTCTAGTTCCACGAAATTTTGAAACGATAAAGCCAGAAAAGAGCGTGATGTTAAGAAACTAGACATGAACATTACCAAAAACTGATTTTGAATGTGAGAAATTTCCAAAGACCTAGTATGTATTTTAATGTCCGGCAGACACGGCTTACATCTCTATTGATGGCCCACTCATTATATAGCCGATGAGGAAAAATCAATTTTATACTGTTTTTAGTTTTATAGAGAATACATATGACCTCGAAAATGTCGCATATATAACGCGGATAAGGATGGCACTTGAAAAATGAAGATTTACCCTATGGAATATATTCGTAGATGATCTTACTGGTACACGATAATTAAAAGATGAAAACTAATGTCCATTTAAAACAAAAAAAATGGCGCTTGGGAATCTTTTTAATAACTCTTGATAGGAACAAAATAGAGAGCTACGATTTTTACCGTTAGCAAAAGGAGATGAAAACGCATCGAATCGTATATTACAAGCTTTTTCGATCGACTTTTTTGAAAACTAATGTACCCTGTGGAGTGACTATAGTAAATAGTTTTTTAGCAATCATAAATATTCTCGGCCAATTTTTCAAGCAATTGCTATGAAAACAAAAAATGACATTTTATAAATTTGATTAAGAAAACATCTTAGGAGAACCTATAAAATGTGATTCGATGTGATTTTATCTCTTCTTTCCAGTAGTGAAAATCGCAGCGCTCTGTCTTGTTTCTATCAAAAGTTATTCAAAAAAATATCTATCTGCCTTTGTTTTTTGAATTAGTATTTACTCTCGTGTAAGGCATCATGTTCAATTAGAAAAATTGACTAAATATTCATATTTAAACTTATCTCTAATGTTTTGTGTCCTTGAATAGATTATTTGTTATTTCTTCATAATACTAAGAAAATTCTTTTGTTGATTTACTATTTGACTGTCGGAAACTTTTCTTTTTCATAAAAAAAAAAAAATGAAATTGTGTTGTTAAAATTAATTATATTTTGAAAGTTATTAATGGTCATAATATTTGCACTTAGATCTCATTTAATAGATGCAACTGATTTATCTTGAAATGAAAAAAAGCATGTCAGAAGCAAAAACAAACAAAAAAATTTATCAAGGTATAAAATTTCTCAAAGTAACCAATTATGCAAAGACCTCCATAACAATCTTTAGTTCGTTTACAGCCCTATACAAATCGTCCAATTGTAGTTTTTAGAGTATGATAGCTTTGTAAACTTTTACGTATAAAGTCTCTTTCCGGTATTCATTTTGTAGAGCAAATAGGAGTTGAAGACTGATAAGTCAAGTATATGAAAAAGTAATTTTCTATACCATTTGATAAATTTTCTTACATATTCAACAAAGCTAGTTTGCATGTCAATTTTGTCGATTGTTCTTATTTTAGAATTATAATCAATAATCGAAATTGGTTTTAAAATTGATCGTTTAGTTTTTAGATAATTTTTTTCTAGTAAATCCTATATGAGATTGATTGGATAGTAGATAGCATTATAACTTCTCTTTTCTCATACTATCCTAGCGTCTACAACATGCCACTAGTGAATAATCCCTTTACTAATCTATTCAAATTTTGAAACTGTATATATACAGGTCTTCCCTGTCAAGGTATTAATCCCGTATTATCCTTCGTTATTACATCATGTCATCATCGAAATAATAAATTTATCTTAAAAAAAAACATATCGACTTAATCTAGTCAAGCTTTTGACACATTACAAGAACTCCTCTAATAGTTGATTTCATTTGGTTTTTCTATCATGTTTATACATGTTGTTTCTATACATATGTATTTTTTAACTTCCTTTCAAAAATATCTTTCTGACGTTCCAGGTATTTTGTACTTGAATAATATAAAATGTAATTAATGGATGTAGAAATACATCATGTGAAAAATACAATGCCTGTTATGCCTAAGTTTAGTTATTTTTCATTTGTATTGTTCTGTTTTCACGAATAATCAACTATCATAACTGAATAAACATAAAATATCTCTTATGGATAAGAATCTAATCACAAATTCTCATTTACTACTATTAAATATTGATCATGATCGTATTAATCAAGAATCTGATTCAGAAATATATGAATAAATTACAAGTTAAATAATGAAAAATTTAATATAAACAGCTGATCTTGAAGAATATTTCCCACAAAATTTCTATCGTATGAAATCATAGCATTTTATGAATGAATTCTTTTATCCTATGAAAAATATTTCTACTATAAAGTGTTAATTAACTTAATGTGTCAATGACTTTACTATATCTCAGAATACGATCATCTTTCATTTTGTCCAGACTTTTTATCATTGTGTTTTGTATATAAAGATTTTTAATTTTACTATTCGAATATGAAATTTGATAATTTTATTTTTTTGTAAATTTTATTCAATGAAAAAAAAAACAAACCAAATAACTACAAAATCTTTTTAAACATTTTCATTTGATTTTATTTGTGTTAATTTTTGTTGTTTGATAAGTTGATCTTTTTGTTGACTTAATTCTTTAATTTGACCACCAAGACATGGTGGTGTACGATATTTTTCTTCTAATTTAAGACCACGACGAAAACTATCATACCATAATGTTGGATTTGGTGTATATAAACTTAATGCATGAATTTTATGTTCGTTAACAATATCTTTAACTAAATCATTTAAACGTCGATGTCGTTCAATTATTGGCATAGATTCAAATGCATGTGTTATAACAATTAATTGTAAATGAGTTTCTTTTCCTGGTTTAAAACCATTATGTTTATAACTTTCATTAATAAGTTCAACATGATATGGTTTTAAATAAGATTTTTCAATTGTTTCTTTGATTAAAGCACATACAGGACCGGATTTTGTTGATGTTAAACGAATTTGAATTAATGAATTTTGTAATGATTGATATAATAGTTTACTAGCAAACATTATATATAGATTGTTGAATAATAAGAAAGAAGAAATAAATCTATAGGAATGAATCCATTGGTTAACTATGTATTAGAAATTTCATAAAATATTAAAATGAATACAATAATTTTAACAAAAAAATTGAATAAGATTTATTTTTGATTTATTTAATAAATACAAAGATATATATATAATCTATAGATGTCGCTAGTTTCTAAATAATTTATCTTATTCGTTAAATAAAAACGAATTCTCGATTGATTATGAAAAGAAGTAAGTAAAGTTGTTTCATTTTGGATTCAGTGAAAAGGAACGTTTTTTCAATTATTATTTATTAATTTTAGGGTACAAAAGTTGATATAGTGAAATAAAAATTTAATTATTTTAGAGAAAATTTCTCTATTTGTACTAATCATTCATTATTCCTATTATGTTTATTTATATTAATGAATGAAATAAATGTTTAACTATCGAATAAATTTAGTCTATTCCATTGTTTACCCGCAAAAAAAAATAGAAAATAATATTTGTCAATTATGACTTCGAGAATGGACAGAAATACATTCAAAAATTGAGTAGAATGAATTCTTGAAGAAAAAAAAGACCGAGATTCTGCTTAGAACTACAAATTTTCGATGTATTTTGTAGATCCTATTCCTCTCTAATAAGTCGTTTTATACTTTTCTTTTTTTTTTTTTTTTGCTTATTCAATTTTTTTGTTTTAGATGACATTACTCGAACGATATTTAAATGCAATTGATAAATGTTATGTACAATGTTTAAATGATCCAGAAAATGAACCATATAAATCAAAATATGAAGCAAAAAAAATCTTTGAAGAATTATATAAAGAAAATCTTGATGAAGAATCAGATATTATGAAAAAAGAATTCGAAACTTTAGATTTAATCGAAGAGAATAATCAACGAAAATTTATTATTATTAAATCAGATCAACAAGCAAATGAACCATCTGGTAAATAAGTGTTCAATTTAGTTATAAGTCTATATTAGAATAGTACCAATAGATTTAAATGGTACTGATCAAGCAGTTTATTCGTGGCTTGAACAAAGGCATTGTTTAAATTTTATGTTCCACAAATTTAAACATCAAGTTTTTCATCCATACGTGAGTAAAGTTAGCACCAGATTCGAGTTTTTCCCGTCCGAATTCGTTCGTATGCTTGAGTTATATTTCGTTCAACTTAAGTTAGGTATAGAATTTTACAGCCAATTCGATAGTGTAAAGATCAAGGGGTTCATCGAGCAAATACTGAATTTTTCAAAATTTTTTAAAAAGTATTTGCTGCCCGGATTCACTATTTTACTTGAGTTGGATTTAGCATGAGATTCTGCACCAAATGATATCGATTTAGTATGGGATCATCGAGCAAAAATTTTTCACTGTACTCACCCGCACCTATATGAAAAATTTTTTGTCCGATGATCCCATACTAAATCGATATTATTCGATGCAGAATTTCATGCTGAATCCAACTCAAGTAAAATAGCGAATCGGGACAGCAAATACTTTTCAAAAAATTTTGAAAAATTCAGTTTTTGCTCGATGATCCCCTTGATCTTTACACCATCGGATTTGCCGTAAAATTCTATATCTAACTCAAGTCGAACGAAATATAACTCAAGTATACTAACGAATCCGGACGGGAAAAACTCGAATCTACGACTAACTTTACTCACGTCACAGTTTTATGACTTAGAGTAGATGTCGATCGTTTCAAACAATAAGTATAGATGAAATCAAACTTTTGAGAATATTAAAAGCTGATGTGAATCGCTTGAATCATTTAAGAATTATTGCAGTTTTATTTCACGCCTAATATTTGAAACATTGTGTATAATGAACACATTCAATTCTTATGATTGTATTTATTGACTGTCTATTGATAGTGTTATTAGCAAATACGAATGACTTAGCTTCATCACTTTCCAAGTCTCATGAGAGACGTTCTTCATTTGAAACTATGTGCATTATGTAGACTCTAATGTGCTATAAATTCGTTGAAAAAAGTTTGGACTCTTAGACTATTACTGTGAAGATAACGCATTTTTAAAGTCCATTTAGGAAAACTGATTTTCATATATTCGACTTGAAACAACATTTTACAAGGAGAAAGATCTTAATGAGAATAGTTTATTGGAAAAATTCTAAGCTGTTTGATTTATTTCTATCTTGAAATAAGAACATCAAATTTATCGGTGTAAAAGACATGCTTTTACCATAACCGTATCTAAGGATAGAAATAACAAATAAATATGAAACTTTCATAATAAACTATTCTGACTAGAGCCTGTCTCTATGCAAAATTTCAAATCGAAATTCTCCAGCGTTTCTGAGGAAGATTATAGCATTGATTTCAAAAATATCGTAAGAAGCGTAATATTTCTACCACCAAAGGAATTAATCAGTTGGAAAGCTTACTCGTGATGATTTGCATACTTTTCGTATTCTTGTTTTCTCAAGTAAACATCAATAATAAAACTTAATAATGGAAGTTCTCTACTTCGTTATGCTGCACACAGAACATAGTCTCAATTAAATTGCATTTTCTCTCCCCATAGGTCGCTTTTGTCAATGTAGTATGATAAATCTAAAACAAATGCATATTTACAATCTTTTTCTATTTTAGTTTCAAAAAAACATCGTTATTTAGTTGATTTATTATTTGATTATCATATTGGTACAATCTATAGTGATACAGAAGAAAAAGGTGAAGGTGAATTACGTTTACGTCTTATTTTAACATCAATTGAACAAGCTCTTAATCATTCATTAATTTGTTCTCTTGGATTAAATTTATTTAATCAATTAATTCTTATTCATACTTCATATGAAAAATATAATGATGCAATTGAAATAGCTAAACATGCTGAAAATCTTTATAATCAATCATTAATTATTGAACCATATCTTTTAGAAGAATTAATTCATATTGATTTATCAAATCAAACAATAAATCGTCGTGAAGAATTTGAACAAATATATATTCATACATTATTTTATCTTGCACAAATTTATGGAAAACTTAATGATAAATATCAATCAGCTAATTATTGTCGTTTAACACTTGAACGTCAATTAGAAATATTTTATCAAAATAATAAAAAAAATTTCGATCCATTAGATTGGGCAACAAATTGTGCTACACTTTCACAATATTATATGACAAAACATGATTATGCTACAGCTCGACATTGTCTTATGTGTGCTGATAAAATGTTAGAAAATGTTAAATTAAATGATAATTTATCTGAACGTATAGCAAGTTTTAAACGATGTTGGATTAAATATGCAATTAATTTATTAAGTAAGATTATTTCAATGGTTAAAATACTTTAAATAAATATGATCGAATCTATATAAAAGAACAATTTCTTCTATCTTATCAGCACAATGACGAAAAGAAAACTTTCCCTCAACTGACAACTACTTGGAAGATTAGATTAATCTGAGTGCTATAAGAATTATTGAAAATTTAATTATAAATGTTTGTTTTCAACCCCTTTTTTTTCAATGTTATGAGTAATCACAAATGTTTAATTCCTATAGAGAAAAAAAAACGTTTTACATATTGCTATGAAAATTTCTATTGAATTCTCTTGCAATTAGATATATGCTCTATAATCCGAAAAGCTCAATACCTTATGACATACACCTACTCTTGTAGTTAGTGAGTGTGGACGGGAAGGTCAAACAATCAAGTACAAGAACTCTGTGTCAGACTCGTTTTCTGTTCGGTTGTATGCCTCATCGCTGAAACAAATATTATCGAACAGAAAGATCGCCGAAATCAACATTACCGAAATACAGATTGTCGATAGCGAAGTTCATTGAAACGCAGATTGCCGAATTCATTTCGAACATCTACTAGCTTATTAGAGTTAGCACTGAATCAAGTTAGTGATTACTTTAATGTGGTTTCTAACTTATTGTATCACTCACTTAAGTTAGTTGTTAACTGATCGATTCGATCATTAGCATAAAAATTGTCGATGGCCATATCGCCGACAGTGACACCGTCGAAAATACGAATAGTCGATAGTCACATTACCGAAATGGCACTTTTTCGGCGAAGAGCATACCGACCTTCTGTGTTCAAAGCTACAGCTAGTATTAGTTGTATGGAAAATGTCGGGCTATTGAATCTACCGCAAGGTAGACGAAACGCAGAGATATTCTTCCTATCTAGCCAGAGTTATGACTGTTTGAACAGATTTTTGATCTTTGGACCAGCTATTTATGGAAAGCTCAATTACGAGATTTTCATCTGAAATTTTATCTTTTGATAAGTCTCATGGTCACTAGAATATCCTAAAAATTTTAGCTCAAATGAATATATTCATCTTAAGATATGTAAAACTTTGTCGGATACTTAACATCTTAAAAACAATACATTCATTTGTGCTGAACATTCAAGGATATTTTAATAGCCATTGGATCTGTCTCTGTATAGAATTCCAGATGGAACTGTTGTAATTAAGTTTTCCATGCATAGCTAATCCAGAGGTCGAAAAATAGTAAAACGATCATAACGCTGGTCGAAGAATGTATTTCTCTCGTAGGTACAATTATTATCAATACATATAATACTCGAATATTTCTCATACTGTAGTTATCGATAAAATGAATACTAACTCATAAACATAATCTATCAGTTATAAAACACTTTTCTATCAATTCGAATCGAATTTAAATTATTATTTTATCTATTGTATTCGTTATAAATGAATAAATATTTTCGTCTATAGGTGATTCATCTGATCGTCTTCTTCAAGCTGCTGATCGTGATGTTAATCCAAATGAAATTGTTCAATCATCATCAATACCACAATTTCAATTTCAATTAACACTTCCATCACCACCTATAACATGTTCATATATACTTGATTATGAACAAGCTCGTCAAGTATTTTTATTTGCAATGGATAAAATAAATTCAGCAAAATCTTATTATATTCTTGATGGTTTTGTAACTGATCATGTTGAATTATGTCAAGATACAAGTCAATTATATTTAAAATTAATATTTTTTGAATCAAATATTGATCGTAAATGTAAAATGTATAAACGTCGTATTGATATATTATCATTATTATGTAAAGAAATAAGTGAAGAACATTATTTATATTTAATACGTCAATTACTTTTTGAATTAGGTGAATGTTATTCAATGTTACTTGATCTTAAATTAGAACAAAAAGATAAATTAAATTCAAATAAAATATTAGAAAAAATTTCAAATTTAATTCAATTAGGTATTTCAACATTTGAACATTTTATATTAACAATGAATGATAAAAAAACAAATAAAAAACCTGAAATTTATGCTGATGAATTTATTCGACCTGTTTTATTAGCACATTTTTATATAGGAAGATTTCATTCAAAATCTATTGAAAATCGTCTTGAAAATATTGAACAAAGTTTAAATCAATATAAAATTATTGTTGATTATGTTGATAAACATCCAAATACACTTGAATATATTGAACAAGAATATAATATATGTAAAGAAATGATTAATTTATTACCATTAAAACTTGAAAAATTACGACAAATTAAATAAAAATTTTACTTTGTTTCATTTCATTTTAGATAAAGTTTGTTATTTTTTTTTTTTTCGTTTTGATTGTATGAATTCTACGAAAGAAAGTATTGTACATATATACAAATTGTTCAAAAGTTCATCGGAAAAGTTAGTATAAATATTCAATTGACTTTTTTTTAAATAACTATAAACATTAGAATAAAAATAATTTTTTCAATGATCAAATCTCACTCATCTATACTTGTGAAAAGAAAAGTGAGAATCAAATTCGACAAAAAACACATTAAATGAAGATTACATGTCAATGCTTTTTTTTTGAAACTAAATACATTTGTGCAAAATAAATTATAATCACAAGCTGTCGCAAAAGTCTACAAACGAATTGTACCTTGTACGATTTCAATGAAAGCTACTTCAGTCATAATTCGGTGTACTGTGATTCATTTTTTTACAAATACTATAAACTTCATCGATCTTTTTCTTTTGTGGTTTTTGATAGATCCCTCAGAATATTCTCAAATTTTCATTGTATTGATTTCAAAAAAGCATTGATATGCAATCTTCATTTGATGTGTTTTTGTTGAATTTGATTCTCACTTTTCGTTTCACACCTATAGGTGACTCATATTTGATCATTGAAAAAATTATTTTTATTCTAATCTTTATAATTATTTAAAAACAAAACATGCTTACGTATTATTAAAAAAAAGTCAATTGAATATTTACACGAACTTTCCCGATAGACTTGTAGAATATTCTGTATATTGAACTGGTCAAAAATATAAGATCAGCATATTTTGGATTAGACAATAAAATTCTCTATCAAATATATTTTATACTAAAATTTCATGATGGACTATGAGAAAATTAATTTTGAAGAATACTATCTTAAAGTGCACAAAATTTTGATTACAGCATTTCCTTCGATCTTCTCGTAAAATATTATAGGCATCACAAAAAATACGATTTTTAGCAATTCTATGATTAATTTCACTTTTTGTTACGTTTATAATTTTTTTAAGAGAACGTTGTAGAATATGCGCTGACTCCTCATTTTATTCAGAGTTATGTGCTCTTGAAGATGATTCTCTTAGAAACTAATTTTCATACAATCTTCTAAGATCTGAAAACTACCGTATTTCATTTTCCAGAAATCTTCTTCTCATAGTTCATCTAGAGAAGTTTATTTGATAAAGAACTTCATTGATTATTTGAATTCTCGAGTTAAACACTTGATGTCATAGAAAAAAAAAATCAAAAATACATTCGTCTTATATTTTTGAACAATACTGTAATTAAGAATAATAACTAGAAAAGCGAAGGGCACAAGTCCGGGATAAAGATTATAGTTAAATATTCTATGGTTTAAAGCGAATTATCTTATAAACTATATCAGTCAAAATATAGTTCAAAAGTCATGATCACCAAATAAATGCTAGTCTTTGACTAAATAAAGCAATAGATGAACTTGATTCCGCACATTTTTAATGATAACACACCGTAGTCAATTTGCATGGATAAAACTTTAGAAGAAATTCCTTTTTGTAAGATTTTTCGATTTAAAAGAATTCGGTATATTTCATAAAATGAATTAATGACTAAACTTGTGTTTTGATTCTTTCGAATTTTATAGACTCAGAAAATTTTTGTTCATTTAGTTCAAAATTATATTTTATAAAAAATCTCTGCTCTATAAAATTATTCATTTCAATAACTTTTAGATACTCCGCATAAGGATGTATGAGATTAGCAAGAAATCTATTTGGTCCACCGTTCAAAATAATTTTTCAGATGTCTTTACTCTCCAGTGAAAATAGACAGAAAATACCTATTTCCAAGAGCATTCCTTAACATTGAAAATGAATGTCAAAAATTTTTGGAAGACTTAATATCTATTTTTATGTCGTAGCAGCAGCTCAATTCATCAGATGAAGCTGCTAGTAACTGAAACATGTACATTTGATCTTATGTTATATTCAATTGAAAAAAAAATTCTATTGTAGATTTTATCATTAATTGTGATATTTTTCTTTTTCATGACTAATTCATCTATAACGGTAAATTTTCTTAATTGATTTGAATTTTAAGAAAATATTTTCCTTTTTTTTTTTTTTTCTTTCAAAAATAGAAATCCCAATATCTCTTACCGGGTGAACATGATAATACATCATCACTTGTTCATACTCATGGAATCTATCGAAATTTATCATTAAATTCTTCTTCTTCAAAACAAACATATCAAAAGAATTTTATTTCAATACCTCGTATTTATCAACCAAAAGAAAATGATTATATTATTGGTATTGTTATTGTTCGTACACCTGATTTATTTCTTGTTGATATAAATAGTATTGAACCAGCTATATTACCAACTCCATCATTTGATAATGGTCGTTTACCAGCTCGTAATACAATGAATCGTTTAAGTGTTGTTTATGCACATGTTGTACGTACAGATTCTTGGACACAAACAGAATTATCATGTCAAACAATAGATCGTTTAAAGAAAAAAAATGATTTTGGTCTTATTGAACAAGGAAATATTCTTCGATGTTCATTAATATTATGTGAAAAATTACAACATTCATCATTAATAAATCATTTACATAATATTATAAAAAATTTTCGTATACGTATTACACGAAATGGTTTTATATGGTATTTAACTGATACAATTAATTCAATGATTGCTATAAAAAATATTTTATATAAATATGAATTTGAAAATAATATTGATTATTTAATAAATCTTTATCATGAAATAATGATAAAACTTCAACAACAAGATGATAATCTTGTTAAAGTTAAACAACAACAACAACCATTAGTAAAAAAAGATGTAGAAATAAAAAAAACTGAACAATCAAAAAATACTACTGCAGTTACACGTTTACTTAATCAAGTTATTCAAAGTGTTCTTGATAAAATTATTGATGATATTGAAAATAATGAAAATAAATAAATTTATCTTGGCTTGTAAATATTTTTTTGTAAAAATTTATTATTTACACTTTCTAGTTTTATTTTTCTTTTTGTTCATTCGGATTAATCAATAAGATTGTCTTTTCCAAAAAAAAAAAAAACATTTTAGATTTTCTTTTTTATAAATTATGGCTAGTGATTCGGATAATGAAATGGAAAATAGTATGGAAGAAGATATTGATAGTGATTTAGATGATGTCGAAGTAAGTTCAAATTAATTTATCATTAATAAATAAAATCAAGTGTTTTATATTCTAAGAGAAATAAAATAGATTTTGCATATGCATGACTTAAAATGAAAGAAAACTTTTCAATTCATATATTTATTTCGATATGATTTTGAAGATTAGTTTTAAAATAGGAGGATGTGTACAAAACTTTGCCTTCAAACAGTTCTTGAAAAAGTCATTAGAATCTTCTAAAAATTTCAGACAAAAAGAGTAGTGCCTTCTCGAAATATCAAATCCATAAAAATCTAATGACTTCTTCTAATCTCAACAGGTCCCAAAATAATGACTGGAGTATCAACTCAGATGGTTTCCTCGTTAGTATAGTTAGTGCATACTGAAGCACTGGCATACATTGCTACAAAAGGAGTGTATTTTGATAGAATTGATGTCTCAATGTGGCAGCGAACGTGGATATTATTGCTTTGGTGAACACCGATGCCCCAGTAGGACCTATGTCGAAAATTCACTGTCAGTATTTACACCAACACTGCACATCACTAGTGCAGAAAATCGATTGTATAATACATTAACGAGAGAACTTCGTCAAGTAGTAGTTCGTTTGTGAGATGAGTCTTAACTCAATAAGTGATCATGTTGAAACTAAAGAAAGTCGAACAGGATTCCTGTCTATGAATTGTTTTTTCTTGAGTCATGACCATTTTAATGCATTTTTTTTGTAAGACAAAAATATCGTACTATCACTCAGATCATCTTCTAAATTAGTTAAGAAAGTGTTCAAAAATATTAGAACAAAATTTGTTTTATTGCATAAAAAAAATCTTTACTATTGGCATCTAAGGATAGAAAATCTGATTCAATGGTGTTCGATGAAGGCATTGTCTTGTTAAACTTAATTATTATAAGATTACCGACAAGATTGTGTGCGAAATGGATAGAATAGAAATAATTAATAAGCGATCATCAAACTCACGAGAGAAGTATCCGAAAGTTAGCATGTCTTTTTTTTGAGATAATTAATTTTCAAGTACAATGGATGATTGTATCCTCCAAAGATAAACGGCTATCTATAAGGCAAAGTTTCATGTCAAAACTTTTCTTTTGGATTTTTTTCCGAAAGACTGGCTCTCAATAAAACGGCCGTTACTTTTCATCAATACATTACGGACTCGAACTCTTTTAGACTTTTTCTATGCTCAATACGACCGATTCATCTTGTTAATAATTTATGACACAATAAAATTGTTTACATTCAATACTTTTTTATAAGTTTTAAAATTTAAAAGAAAATAAATAAATAACATAAAATATGTTCATTCAATAAAACATCAACAGTTTTTACTAAATTTTATATATATATATATATATCTCGTTTCTTTTTAGCTTCAAAAAGCTTTTAAAGAAGGTCGTCTTAAACCTGGTTTAAATATCGAACAAAAATCTAAACGACCATTAATCAACAACAAAGTTAATATATTTTTTCTTTTTTGTAAACAAATGTTATAGAAATCTTTTTGTTTTTTTAAGGAAGCACTTACTGCTAAATATGCTGAAATCTATCTTGATTTACCATGGGTCGAACGACTCGATTGTACTAATACTCCATTGCTTGTTAATGAAGCTGATTTACCTACAAAGGATGATGAAACACTTGCTGATAATGATTTTAAACGCGAAATGCTTTTGTAAATTTATTAAAAAGAAAACAAATATATACAACTATGAATTCTTTTGTATCTTTTAGTTATCGTCAAGCTCAAGCAACTGTTCTCGAAGCTATTCCTCGTTTAAAAGCAGAAAATCTTGCAACAAAACGACCTGATGATTATTATGCACAAATGGCTAAATCAGATGAACATATGAAAAGAGTAAAATACATTTTTTTTTTTGTAAACTTTTAAAATTTTTTTGTTTTTTTTTTTCTTTTACATTTTTTAGATTCGAGAATATTTAGTTAATCGTAAATCTGATATTGAAAAACGTGAAAAATTACGTAAATTACGTGAACAAAGATTATATGGTAAAAAAGTTCAACAAGAAGTTTTACTTAAACGACAAGAAGATAAAACAAAATTACTTAAAACAATGAAAAAAGTTCGAAAAGGTAAAATACAAAAAAAAATAATAATAACAAATTTAGTTTTATCAATTTCAATATAGGAAAACAAGGTAGTATGCA